TTTTTTTGTTGTACAAGGCTGTTTTGACTACTCTGGCTCTGTTACTAGATTTGAGACTGGGAAGTGAGAGGCCTCCTGCTCTGTGATTCTTTTTAAATAACGCATTGCTTATCCGGGACCTCTCTTTCCTTTCCATAGAAAGTTAGTGCGAAGTTTTTCTATCTCTTTAAATAATGATGTTGGAATCTGGATTGGGATTACAGTCTCTCTATGGATTGCTTTGGGTAATGTTGACATTTTTACAGTGTGTTGCTGTACATGAGCATTGCTCCATTTCTGCAGGTCATTTTTATTTGTTAGTTTGTAGTAATGTTTTGTAGTTTTCTTTGTGTAGGGCTTTTGTGTCCTGGGTTAGATTTATTCTGAAGTAGTTCATCATTTTTGAGTGGCTGTTGTAAATGGTCCTGTTTCTTTATTTTTCAGAGTTCTCTTTGTTGTATAACGGAGTTTGATTTTTGTATGTTGATCTTGTATCCTGACACTTTGCTGAATCAATCAGTGAATTCCAATAATTTTCTTGCTTAGTCTTTGGGATTGTCTTAGGATCATATCATCTGTAAACTGAGTTTTACTTATTTGCCAATTTGTAATTTCGCTTTCTTGGCAAGTGACTATTCTGTAGTCCTGTTAGGGTTTTTTTTTCCCCATAACAATGAAAGACCCATTCTATTATTGAATAGAGATATGACTTTATACATTTGAGTGCATATTTTAGTTAAAAAGGTTTTTTCTCCTTCACTGAACTCTCCTTTATATAAAGATCTACTACTTCCTTCTTTAGTTAGGAGAATTAAGAGTTCTGCTAGACTCAGGCTATTCAGTCTAACTTCTCTAGATCTTTGCTTTCTGCCTGGTAAGATGTTTGTTTTTAGGTGCCATCATGTCAGCTCCAACTCATTGCAGTTTTATGCACAACAGACGAAACACTGTTTGGTCTTGTGCCAGCCATACAATTGCTAGGTTTGAGCCCATTATCACAGCCACTGTGCCATTCCATCTTGCTGGACCGGGGAAATCTTCCTCTTTTTCTTTGACCATCTACTTTAAAATGAAAAATCGATCGTGTTATACAAAATTCTATCATGTGATATTCAGCATAGTTTCTGTCTACTTTTTGACTGCTGATCCTTCCTCTTTGTTTGTAACTTTCACATTCCCCTCACCTGTAATTAGTTTGATCAATTTCAAATTGAAGACCTTGGTAGAACCCTTTAATTTCATCATCACTGGCTTTTGTAGTTGGTGTGTACATTTTAATAATAGTGGTATTAACTGGTCTTCCTTGTAGGTGTTTGGATATTATCCTATCACAGACAGCATTGTACTTTAAGATGGATCTTGAGATGTTCTTTTCAACAATGAATACTTCTTCAATTTGTCATTCCCAGCATAGTAAACCTTAGAATGGTCGTAATCAAAATAGCAGTCTATTTCAGTTCACCACTGCCTAGGATATTGATCTAAATGTGTTTCATTTTATTTTTTGTCAATTTCTAATTTTCCTAGATTGATACTAAACACATTCTTTATTTTGATTAGTAATGGATATCTGTAGCTGTTTTCAGTTGTTTCTTCTCATTTCAAGTTGTGTCCCATCATCAAATGAAGGTTCTGAAAGGTTTTCTCCATTAATTTCATTATGATCAACTTTACTTTGAGAAGGTGACTCTTCGCCAGTCATATTTTGAGTGCCTTTCAACTGGAGAGTTTTCTGGCATTGTATCTGACAGTGTTTCTCTGCTGTTTGTAAGGTTTTCAGCGGCTACACTTTCAGAAGAAGTAGTCTGTCTCTCCTTCCTTGTCTGTCCTAGTCTGGAATCTCTGCTGAAGCCTGTCCGCTAGTGTTGATCTTGTTGGTGTTTAACATAGTGATGGCATAGCTTTCCCAGCATCACAGCAGCACACAAGCCACCACAGTATAAGAAACTGGCAGCCAACTGGTGGAGAAGGACCATAGACAGAATATAGGCTATGGGCCTTCTCCCCACGCTCATTAGACTATGTTTTCTGGTGTCACAAAGAAAGATTCCCCTTTCTTGAAGTTGTGGGTGCTTGTCTATTCATTGTTGATGCCAACTATCACTGCCACAGCGGTTGCCATGGGATTGCCTGCGGCCTAGGAAGAAGAGAGTAGTTATTAAGTGCCGTAGAGTCTGTTCCGACCCATAGCGACCCTGAACAGGGTTTCCGAGGCTGTAAATCTTTATGGGAGCAGAAAATCTCATCTTTCTCCCACGGAGCAGCTGGTAGTTTCAAACTGCTGACCTTGCAGTTCGCAGCCCGATTCATAACCACTACGCTACCAGAGCTCCTTAGGGAGAGGAGAGTGGAGAAGGGTAAAAAAAACCTCCAGTGGTTTCCCCTCTGCTCTTTTACATCCTTAACTGCTTCTTAGATAAGAAGAAGACTTTCCTTGGAGCTTTGTATCTATACTTAGTGTGCAGGTTGATAAACAGTTCAGGGCCGGTTTTGCATTGATGGTTTTTTTTTTTTTTTTTAATGTTTTATTGTGAATTATATGATAGTTTACATGGGAGAACATTAGTTTTACATTCATTCTATCGTATATCATTTCATTGCCATGGTTCCAATCCCCTCCATGCATCATCAACCAACCAAAGGGTATACCCTGCAAGCCTGCCCCCTACACTATCTCTCCACCCCCCACCCCTCAAGCCTTCAGCACACAGTGGCTCTCCCTCTCTGGATCTAAAGTCCCCAGCTGCTCCATCGCTCCACGTCATCGTCTCTGCTTCCATCTCAGCCATCGCTGCTTCTCTGGGTAGGGTCCCACTCTCAGCTCTTCTCCGTTGATGGTCCTAGGGACCTCTGATCCTAGACTGCAAAGTTAATCACTCCCTTCCCTGCTATAAAATGTCTACCTTTACATTTCCAACCCTCACAATCAGTCCTGATAACAATTATTCACTATTGTACCACAAGAGACCCATCTGCATTTCATTTCATCAGCTCCGCCTAGACAGGTTGGACAGTACTCACTGGAGATTCTGCCTTCCTCCTTGCTGCTGTTTGGTTTTAAGTGGAAACTGTACCTTTACATTTTGACTACACATGTGTGCATGGATGGGTAGTAGAACCCGGTGGGGGTGGGGGTGGTTTGTCCACTCTCTCAGGCACCCCCTCTAGTCACCAGAATGGAGATGCGCAGATAGACCAACTAACAGTTACACTAAAAAGAATGTCCACACCTTTATTCATGGTTCTGTCACTTGTCCGTGGCTGCTCCGATCCTTTCCCCATTTAGTCTCGCCTAAGATGGCCACTCAGGGAACAGCTGAGTGCCTTAGATTAGAAAGTCCTGGATTTCTTGCTTCTGCTACAAATTCCACTGGATACAAGCCTTCCAACTTTCTAAATATATCTTTGTATGTGGTTCAGAGTTCTGGGATCATCCCCTGAGTCTGCTTGGTCCGGTATTCTGTATTTTTGCTGACGGAGCTCCTCACTGTACTTCTAGCCAATCCACCAACTTGTTTGTTCTCCCTCTCTATTCACCTTAGCTTTTTTTTTTTTTTAAAACCACTCAGGCATATATAATAATTTACACCACCAAAGGGCACATTCTGCAAGTCAGTCTTCTGGCCACCAGCTCTCAATCCCTCTCTTCCCATGAATCTAGATCCCTCAGCTGCTCCCCCTCTCCATGTCCCCATCTCTGCCTCCATGTCTGGTGTCGCTGCTTTTCTGGATAAGGTCCCACATTCCGTTTGTGCTCTTCTCCTCCTTGATGGTCCTCGGGTCCTCTGTTTCTGGACTGTAAGGTTAACCACTTCCCTGTTGTCACAAAACTTCTACCTTTACAGTTGTGACAGTCACACTTATTCATAATAACGATTACTCACTATTGAATCATACAAATCTTATCCCCATCTCTTCACCAGACCCATCTAGACAAGATGGAAACTATTCATTGGAAACACATACACTTAAACTAAATTCCCTCTTGAAATCTTATAAGCTAGTTACTTAGTGCCTTTAATCACCCCTCATTTCAGGTAGCCAGTGTCTAAGTTGCCCGTCCTTATGTACCCTGAAGTATGGTGGGGGTGGGGAGTGAAGAGATAGCATTGACACTTGATGTGAAGACTCCTTCCCTCTCTGTTGGTATTTTGAGCTACTACATCTATGCGTATAGGTCAGGTTCATCAAATTATAGGAATTTACCCTCTTTTCCTTTATCGTCCTCTTGTCGAGTTCTGATTATGAAGCCATTAAAGAAGCTAGGTCAGATGAGTACTATCTGCAAGTTGGGGTGTTTCTGCCTAGGTTTTTGTCGCATTTTCTGGGAGAAGCTTGCTATTTTAATGTCATTGTAACCTAATTGTAAATATGTTATAGTTAGTAATCTATTATCTGTTCTATACTTGGTTCTTTAGGTGATGCAAAGGTGGATTATGCTATTCTTAAAGGTGCATATCATAGGCGAAGGAGCCCTGTTGGTTCAAAGATTGGATGCTACCTGAAAGATTGGTTGTTTGGACCTGCCAGGTGCTCAGTGGGAAAAAGATTGTAGTGTAGGAAACCCTATGGGACAGTTTTAGCCTACTTTAAAGGTTCCCTATGAGTTGCAATTCAGTTAGTGTCAGAGGGTCACATGTGGGGATGGATGGGATATAGGGGCACAAGCAGAAAGTAAACATAACTGTATGTATTGCTAATGTCTTTTTGATCATCAATGTTAGTCTTTTTGATCAATTTTTATTTCACCATTTGGCTTATTGCTTATTACTGAGGGAAAGAAAACCCTTATATTTGGTTTATTTTCCAGGTATTACCCTAAAATATAAGAGATGAAAAGTCTTTGACTGTGTTTGTGCTGGATATAGTTATTAAGATACAATTATAATAATTAGAAGAATGAATGTTATCGTATACATGGTGTTGTGGATAGGTCATGGAAAACTGGATGGACTTAAAAGATAATATAAGAATAGGACTTATAATAAAAAATAATTTATTATTATATACTTGTTTCTCAGGTCTTAGAAAAATACCCCAATACACCCATGAGTCATAAAGAAATTCTTCAAGTTATCCAGAGAGAAGGACTAAAAGAAATCAGGTGAGTTATATAAATATTATCAATACTATTTCTAATACTTGGTTAGAGTGTTTGGTAAGATTCAGTGGTTAAGCACTCGACTACTATCCAAATGGTTTGTGGTTCTAACCCACAAGGTACAACATGGGAGAAAGATGTGACTGTCTGCCTCCATACAGAAGCCTTGGAAATCCTATTGGGGCAGTTCTACTCTGACCTCCCGTGTGGGAATCAACTCATGGCAGACAAAGTTTAGGGTGTTTGTTTGGTAGTACCAAGCAGTATACTTTAGACCGTCTAATTGATTATTTGGTAATAAAGTGCTTTGTTATTTTGACTACTCACCTAGTCAGATGTTTGAAGTTGCTAGTCATAGCACAGTTAAAAAACTAAAAGTATGTAAAAACAAAAAAAGTTTTTAATGAGAAAGAAGATAGCTATCTTGAAGCCCATGCACCTTCTTAGGAAGACCTGGAGCCATCTTCAAGCCTTCATTTGTCTATCAGTTCAGGCTTTTGATTCAATAAGTATGGCTTTTATTGTTTTTGTTATATGCTCTTGAGTTGGAAGGAAGTATGGTTTTAGTCACATCAGAAATACTCTAGTGGAGAGTGGTTGCTAGAGGTAGACAATTTAGGAGGGAATGACCTTGACCAAAAAGGACAAACTGGATCATGGATCTAAAACAGGTAATGTTTACAGTAACTCTGGTAGCATAGTGGTTACGAATCAGGCTGCGAACCTTAAGGTCAGCGGTTCGAAACTACCAGCCGCTCCGCAGGAGAAAGATGAGGCTTTCTACTCCCGTAAAGATTTACACCCTCGGAAACCCTGTACAGGGTCGCTATGGGTCGGAACCGACTCAATGGCACTTAACAACAACAACAACAACAATCCTGGGATTAATGGTGTGGTACTGTGGGCCAATGCATCAGACTGCAAAGTCATTTGAACTGCAAGGTCAGTAGTTCAAGCTCACCAGCTGGGTCAAAATCGCTATGGGTCAAAATCGACTTTACGGCACTAAAACATCAACAAAAGATACCACAAACTTTAATTTCTAAGAGCATTACTGTATTAGCACATAATAGTCACTGTTCATAGTTAATACCTTCTATTATCAAGAAGCTGGTTCAAGTTTACCAGCTGCTCCTTGGAAACCCTATACAGGGTCAGAATTGACTCGACAGCACTCAACAACAATTATCAAGAAAAAGCAGCTCTGGTAGCGAATCGGGCTGCTAACCCCAGGGTCAGCAATTCGAAACTACCAGCTGTTCTGTGGGAGAAAGATGAGGCGTTCTGCTCCCATAAAAGATTTACAGCCTCGGAAACCCTGTACAGGGTCGCTGTGAGTCAGAACCAACTCCATGGCACATAACAACAACATTATCAAGAAAGAACTTCTGGTGTGGTGCTGTAGGATCAGCAGTGGACTGAGAACCACAATGTTGTCTGTTGAAACCCACCAACTACTCCTTGGATGCACTATGAGTCGGAACCGACTTGATGGCACTCAACAACAACACCATCAAGAAATGGTAAAATTATATTAAGTATACTTCGTTTAAGGAGTCATGGTAGCATAGTGGATTATGAGGTGGGCTGCCAACCTGAAAGCCAGCAGTTGGTATCAACCAGTTGCACTGCAGAAAAAAGATGAGGCTTTCTGCTTCTGTAAAGATTTGCAGACTCAGAAACCGGATACAGATTCACTAGGAGTAGAAAATAACTCGATGACATACAGCCACCACCACTACACATACTTTGTTTACTAGGACAGAAATCTGGGCATCTACTTTAGATCAGTCTTCATTAAGATAGAAAAAGGTTGCAGTGTCTTGTAACTGATATTAATGGTACTCAACTGTGGATGGTGTCATATAACACCCCTGGGGAGAATCCAGAATTTTAGGTGGAATATTTTTTTATCGCAGTGATTAGGAAGAGAGGGAGTACTATGCTATTTAGCAAGAATTTTTTTTTCTTGACAGTCCTTCACATTGAAAAAAATTTCAGTTTAGATGCCAATAGTGTGTCTGTTGAGTAATAGGGTCACACCCAAATATTTGTAAATGTTCTACAAGATATTCTTTGATAACTAGTTTTTGTGTCTTCTAGATGCAAAATGCCTTTTGCTGTGTCATGAAATTCAAATTGAAATTGTTTTGGTTGGCCTTTGTTGTTTTAAACTACCAAAAACAAAGTTCTTTTGTTTTGTGAGCCAGCTTTGATAGGTGGTGAATAAATTACGATTGGGTTATTACTGTGCAACAATGCAAGTTGGTATGAAACATTTTGTATAACTTATGTCCCTGAAAAATTATATGCAAACATTTGTAAATTAAAACATCATAATTCATTTGAAGACTAAGCTTTCAAATAATATTTTGTAAATTGTTTTTTGTTTTTTTTTAATTGTGAATTGGGTAAAGATTTTACAGAGCAGAGCATCAGTTTTACATTGAACACATCTGATAGACTTCATCTCATTGATTGCAGTCCCTCAGTGTAACATCCCTTATCCCACTTTTTCTGTTTCTTGTTTTCATTCCTCATTCTCTTTTGTAAATTATTTGAAAAAATGAATCACCTTTTAAATATATTTGAATTCAGTTAGATTCAAAGTACAGTATCCATTTAATCACAGACTCATTTTTACAAAGCTACAGGACGAAAGGATAGTGATGTTGTGACTCTGGGGAAATAAGTTCTGTTAAGGCATTCTAATGGAGCTCTGGTAGCGTAGTGGTTACGAATCGGGCTGTAAACCTTAAGGTCACCGGTTCGAAACTACCAGCCGCTCTGCGTGAGAAAGATGAGGCTTTCTACTCCCGTAAGGATTTACACCCTCGGAAACCCTGTACAGGGTCCCTATGGATTTACACCCTCGGAAACCCTGTACAGGGTCGCTATGGGTCGGAACCGACTCGACGGCACTTAACAACAACAACAAGGCATTCTAATATTCTTTTATTACACTGTTGGTCTTTAGAGTAGGAATGAGTAAGAGATTTCATTTCTCTTTTTACTTAGATTTTTATGCACTCTTGGTAAATAGACTTAGAAATCTGGTGTCTAGTTATCAGATTCCATTAGTTTCTTTAGGTATAAATCCCAGTTGCAGGGTCATGCATCTTTAACATAGTAAAAAGCACAGTGACTTTAATTTATTATTTCTAGGAGTAAACAAGAAGAATAGTAAAGATAAAAAGAACAGAAGGGAAAAAGGAAGAGTTTAAGATAAAAAAAAAAAAAAGTAGCCAAACTGTTGAGTTGATGGAATTAGCTTGCAGCTTTACTTAGTGACAGCAGTTTACAAGTCACTATTCTTGATTTAAAATGTGTTTGTGATTATGCAGTTACATGACCACAAAATAATTCTTAAGTCACCAGTGACTTCTGTTTTGCCATATTCATGGGACTTTTAGGTTTCACTTTTCTTAACCTTAGCAGTATTTGACACAGGCTAACTATGACTTCCTTCTTGAAATTCTTTCTTCTGTAACCTTGATGTTCAATGCCATTGAGTCGGCATTGACTCATAGTGACCACTGTACAACAGAATGAAGCACTGCTTGGTCCTTTGCCAACCTCACAATTGTTACTACATTTGAGCCCATTGCTCCTGCCACTGTGCCAATCCATCTCACTGAGGGTTTTCTTCTTTTTCTCCGACCCTCCATTTTACCAGACATGATATCCTTCTCCAGTGACTGGCCCCTCTTGACTTGGTCTAAAGTATGAGAGACGAAGTCTAGCCATCCTTGCTTCCAACACAGATCTGTTTGGGTTTTTTGGGCAGTCCATGGTACTTTAAATATTCTCCTCCAACACCATAACTCAAGTGCATCAATTCTCTGGTCTTCCTTTCCTTATTCACTATCCCAACTTTCACACGCATATGAGGTCATTGAAAAAAAATCATGGCTTGGTTCAGGTGCACCTTAGTCCTCAAATTGACATCTTTGCTCTTTATTGCTTTAAAGAGGTTTTGTGCAACAGATTTGCTTAATGAAATATGTTGTTTGATTTCTTAACTGCTGCTTTCAAATAATATTTTGTAAACTTAGGTTTACATCCATGTGTGTTGATGGTTGATAAGAGCAAAAAGATTAAATCTTTTCAATCTTTTCTTCATTTATATGGATGTTGTTTATTGGTCCAGTAGTGAGGATTTTTGTTTTTTTATATTGAGATGCAACTCACATGGAAGACTGTGGTCTTTGATCTTCATCAGTAAGTATTTTAAGCCCTCTTTGCTTTCAGTAAGCAAGGTTGTATCATTCATACCGCAGGTTGTTAATGAGTCTTCATCCAATCCTGACGCCCTGTTTTTCTTCATGTGTTCCAGCTTTCACCATAGTTATTCAATCTGTAACCTCAAGTGACATCATAAACATTCCTACCTCTGTAATCTCTCTAATTTTTTTTTGTGTGTGCATGTATGCTGATTACCTTCTTTCCAATTTATGTGCAAGTTTGTCCAGTCCCAAAGCTTTAAATACCATCTATGTTTTGCCAATCCCCAAATTTGTATGCAACTTAACTTTCCCACCCTGTCTTCTGTACATGTTATGCCCTAAGCAGGAACTAACTTGAAACACTTTAACAACAACATACCCTTAGCAAGGACTGTGCCTTCCTTCACTTGTTTGATAGTTAACTTATCCTTCAGGTCTCACTTTGCATCTCTTTTCTTTCCTAAGAACCATGATTCACTTTCTGGTTTAGATCACACCATAATATTTTAGTTTATCATAGTAATCTGTGCTCTTTCTTCATATCACTTGTGTCTTGAAATGATATGTGTGTTGTT